AATAGGTAGGTAAGTTAGCCAAGGTAGCTCTTATTAGGGTAATTCTCCCTCCTAAAGAGATATAATTCCTCTTCCATGTGGCTAATCTCTTCTCAAACTTTTCTATCATTGGGGTCCAAAATCTACTCTCCCTAGGATTTGTCCCTAAAGGAAGCCCTAAATATGACATAGGCCAAGCAGAAGTGGAACATTCAAGACACTTCGCCATAGCCTCAACCTCCCCTACCTCCAAATTTATACCCGCTATGCAACTCTTTTCCAGATTTATTCTCAAATTAGAGATACTTTCAAAACCTTTTATTAGCTCCTTTAGGTTTGCTACTTTTTCGCTAAGACCTCCTTCACAAAAGATCATTAAGTCATCTGCAAACTGAAGGTGGGTGACGGGAACTTGGTGTCTCCCTATTCTCCAACCCCTAATGGCATCTTCGCTGTCAGCCTTAGTAATGGTCCTACTAATGACATCAGCTACTAAGGTAAAAAGGAAGGGTGAGAGTGGATCCCCTTGCTTGACACCCTTGCAAGCTGGAAAAAAGTCCCTCACCATACCATTTACCAGAATAGAGTAGTGACAAGTACTGATACACCCAAAGATCCAATTACACCACTTGTCCCCAAACCCACAGTTTTGCATAACCTCTAATAGAAACTTCTAGTCCACCAGATCATAGGCCTTTTCAAGATCCAATTTACAAATGAATCCTCTCTTACTAGAYCTTTTCATTTCCTCCACACACTCATTCGCAATTAAGATCTGATCTGTTATTTGTCGCCCTTAAATGAAAGCCCCTTGTGTTTCACTAATGATAGAAGGGAGGACTATTTTGATCCTCAATGATAGCACTTTAGCCAGAATTTTATAGATGCTTGTCACCAGACTAAATAGGCCTAAAATCTTTTGGGTGGTTGGCATCAATCTTCTTAGGTATCAGGGCCAAAAAAGTGGCATTAATTCCAGGGCTTATAGTGTGATTGTCTGCAAATTCCTTAAAGAMTTCAACTAAATCCTCTTTCACCACCTCCCAACAGTCTTGATAAAAGCCCATTGTAAAGCCATTTGGACCCGGAGCCTTGGATCTATCCATTAGAAAGACA